TCTCTAAAGGCCCTTTCAGATTGTAACTTTCGATGAGTCTGAATATTCGTTCAGAATGCCAGGAAGAAGTAGGCTGAGTCAGATGTGTTACACAAAAGAAATATCGGCCCTGTTCTTTTGCCATCAAACAGCATTTTAGTTGTTAGGAAAAGAAGATGAGCATATGTGAAAATTGAACCACCAGGGCAGAGTATTTTGTGTGCCCAAGTTGAGTGGTATGGACACTTCACAGATGTATCTTTTTAGGAACAAAATCAATGTAGTCTGTGACCAGGGAAGACTTTGGAGCAGTGTTTCTCAAAGTGGGAGATACTGCCCCCTGCAGGGTGTGTGAACAATCCAGGGAAGCTGCAAAAGCAGATACCTACACTTTATCCTGGATTATGGGTGATAGTTCACATTTTTTTAATTGCCAGGAAGGGTACTGAGCAACGTTTTTTGTTTTGTTTTGTTTTTTCCTGGAAAGGTATCAGTGGGCCAAGTATAGAAATCTAGAGCGACAATAGTTGTGTTATCAACAGAGGGAAGACTATGCCTAGAAGGCTGGGTTTTTTCTTGTTCATCGGAAAACCAAAAACCAAACTCCCTGCCATCGAGCCAGTGGTGGCTCATAGTGACCCCTTGTGGGTTTCTGAGACTGTAACTTTATGGGACTAGAAAGCCCGGTCTTTCTCCAGAGGAGCTGCTGGTGGTTTTGAACTGCTGACCTTGCAGGTCACAGCCCAACCCGTAACCACTACACCACCGAGGCTCCTCTTGGCCAGTGGGGCTTTAGTGTATTTTCTTTACATGTTGATGGAAGGCACTGAAATAGCCCAGGGTGACAGTGGGTAGAGTAGCTCTCAGAGCTGAGGCGGCTGAGAAGATGAGGTGAAGTGTTAATAGTTCATTGGGGCTTATATTATTTATTAATATTATTTTGCTGTGAAACTGGTTGCCCAGAAAGTTTTACTATTCCAAGATTATTATTTGGCTTGGGTGTCCAATTGAGGTGGCTTTTGCTAAATCTGCTTTGGATCATTAAAACTGTAAGTATATATACATGCATTTTCTGTGCCTGGTTTCTTTTCATGTATAGTCTTTATTTTCTGGATGAAAGGCAACATTGTCCAGCCATCCAGGAGGCAAAATGTTGCTCTCTCGTGGTTTTTAATGAATGGATTTGCTATGAAACAATATCTTGGCTGCATGGTACTGTAATTATTAAATGACACTTCAGGGAGTTTGAGGAGTGTGATCTGCAGGGAAACATGTAACCCGTGGGACAGTTGTCGCTGTTGACAGTCTTTGGAAGGTAGTGCAAGCTCTGATGAAGATGATCCTTGAGGGCCTTTAAGTCATGCAAATTGTTTGAGCTTTCTCTTTAAAGGCATTCAGTGCATTCCAGCTACAACTTTTTCAACTCTTTTTTCTTGTTTTCTGGTTTGTTTGCTGCTTCTCATAATCTACTCAGGCAGCATTGTTTTCTTCACATACTAGGTGAGCTCATCTTCAACCCCTCTTGAGCTTCCTAAAGAAAGTGAGACCTTTCTTAAGTTTCTTTCTCTTTATACAAGAGGTGGTCACCCTTTCCTTTAGAAAATATTCCTCTATTTCTTTTTTTTTGTTGACAGATCATCATTTACTCATACACAAGTTCAATTTGAATATGAAAAAATCAAAACAAATCAATGAGAACAAATGTATGATCTTGAGTATATCCTACCTGGATTTAGAGACCATCTCAAGGATGCATTTGACTTATTGAACACTACTCTATTTCTTTACAGAAGATCGAAATCTCGTGTACGTGCCTCGGTCTCTGCATTTTAAAAAAGAGTACTTGATGTGAGGAGGAACATCTTATTCCTTTGTGTTTTTCTAACACTGTGTTGCTGTTTCCCCCTGTATGATTCTATGAAACAGCTGATTTTCTTCTTTGGAATGGACCCTGAATGGACTCACAGGAGGATCTCTGTCACTAGGGTGACAGGAAATGAGTGAAGTTTGGGTGGTGGACCCTCACAGAGGTCCTCAAATGTGTAAATAGTTACTTAAAGGCAGACCTATTTGAAATAATGGTGGGCTTTTCACTGGGACTTGGAATTTTAGCTGAGAGAAAATGTAAATCCCAAAACAAAGGATTGCTTCAAGCTGTCTGATCACCACCACAGCTCTGCAAGGAGGAGCTTCCCGGTGGGCTGCCTCGAGCCTGCGTATCAAGTTCGGGTTCCCCCATGGCCTGGAAGTCAGTGTTGGGCAGGTGCGAAAGCTCAGCAGGTGAACCTGCTTCTGAGGCGAGAGCAGGTTGGCCTGTTAGTTGAAAGCCAGCCTGGAAGCCAGTCCTGAATGCCTAATCTGCACCCAGCTTGGGCTCTGTCTGCTCTGCAGCTGTCAACGAATAGGCCAGTTCTTTGTCTGCCCTCCTGTCCTGGAAATGGGCCAAGGAACAGAAGTGACCGCTCTCACTAGGTGGGTACCTGACATCTGACAGGAGAAGGATGGGCAGGCAGGGGGTCAGTGTCCTGGTTCAAGCATAGCCCAAGACTTTGCAAGTATTCCTGGGTCCGTGCTTACTAGTGCCACAACTCCACAGAAAGTTGAGATGTCGGGAAGCGCTTCCTGTTCATTTTCTAGGGAATACCAACCAGGAGCCATCTACAGATTTTGAAGGTTTTATTTACAGTTATTGGAAGGACCATAATGAGTCTAAGGAAATTTTTCTGGTACTCATGTTAGTAGACATCCTATTCAATTTTATACTGTTTTCATTCTACCTTTTCAAGTGTATCAGGAATGTTGTTTCTGTTACCAAAGATCATCAACTGGCAATTACATTAAGCCTTT